TGTAAATTTCCTAAAAGAAGTTGGATTTTACTCAAAAATATGAGTAATTGAAAAATGGTTCAAACATAAATGTATACATAAATACTTTTTTTTTTTAGCAAACTATCACTATGAATCTATTTCAAAAATTTTGTTGCCATTAAATAACCCACTGAGGTTGATATGCCATAAAACAAAACAATCAAACAATCAAACCATTATGTTTTAAGTCACGAAAATCAACATCAATAAAAGTGTTTTCAATTTAATATAAATTCAAGTAACGAATACTTGCCGTTGCAGCCAGCCAGCCTATGAGGTCGTACATTCTTTAAGTCTCACAATCTTATATTATCACTGACATGGTACAACGGGATAAAAAGTAAAGCCCGTCTCGCAGAATCCGGCTTATATTCGTAACCATTGAACAAAAACTATTAAGAATATCTTTCATCTTCATTTCATTATAACAAATCCTATTGAAATAACATCAGCAGCAGATTTTTCAACTATATGGGTAGTGTGACAGTTGTCGACCCGGAAAGTGGAATTGACGAGCCGAGTTCAAACTCAGTTGCTTTTACTACGTAATAATAAAAGGCATAACTCTATTTCTTCTCCTTTCAAATATGAGTTAAATAGCAGAGCAGACAAGTCTAAAAGAAGGACATTTCTGAATTCAAAATCATGTGCCAGGCGACGAGTAACAACTCCATTATTTTCCCCAGAAAGTCATTGTGCAATTGACAGATAGCAAAGAAAAGGAGTCTGTGGAGAGCCATGATCACCTACGGCATGAAAACATATGACATTTAAAAAAAAAAGTAGATATTTAAAGAACTTCCTTTGGTACAAGGCTTCAATTTTGGAGATACCCCAGAATATCTTTCTATAAAATTTCGTTATCATTCTAGAGCAGGTGCTATGAGATTTAGACAGGTCTGGCACAAGGCCGCAACTTTGAGTAGCCAATAAGAACTGAAGGCATTATCAATAGTTTGCATACAAGAACTTCCTAGATACGTTTAGCACAAGGCCATATTTTTCCAGCACCAAATAAGGATTGAGCTGATTAATTTGCAATACTGGTTTGATTTTATTTTATAAGAAAACAATTTTTAGCTCAGTTTATCTATTATTTATCACCCCCACACAAGCAATGCAATAAAGTCACTAAGTCAAAAGAATTTGGTTGGTTGGTTGATTTTGTTTAGCGGTATATCAACCTCTGTGGCTTATTTAATGCCGAAATCTAAATATTTTGAGCACAATTTTATGGCTTCAACTACAGATAAAATGAATTGTAGGTAATTTCGCTATAAAATGTATTGTTGTCAATTCTACTATAAATATGTACTGCTGGTAATTTGCTTTAAAAGTATTTTTATATTTTCATAGTGTTTTTTTGTCTGTTCTTTTTTGGGGGGAATTTACTGTTTGTCCTACTACCCCGAGTTAGGGTGAACCTGGGAACAACAATATCCATCTTCCTTAAAAGTTCCAATCTCCCGATCAGAGGCCTTGCTGCTGGATGTAGTTTATCGTCATACCCAGAACTAAAGTTTAAAGGAATTACTGAGTGTGAGAGAATATCAGAAAAAGGAAGCATTTATAGCAAGTAATTGAAGTGATTTATTTGTATGCTTGTTAACAGTAATATTTACGGCTATTTATTCTGGTTCTCTCTTTCCAATTAATGTTTTATATATGAGAGTCGTTTTATCGACAAATCAGTTCTTATATATTATTGGTTGTTTCATATAAAATACCTGCCTTTGTGTTTCTGTAAAAATCTGTCGGTGTACCTTGCAAATTGAATGGCATCGCTTTTCAATTTCGGCAATACTGAATGGTAATTCTTTTTGCTAAATGTGTTTCTACTCTTCTAAACCAGTTTGATCTTGCTATAGAACCTCGTTATCATTCTATAGCAGGTGCAGCAGAAATAAGATTATCGTCAACAGACTCAAGAAATGCGAAGGAAATTGGCCCACAATCAGCGTTGTTAAACAACTAAAAACCAATTCTGTTGCATCTGGAATATAAAGTTTCAGAGTAACAGACTTCCTCACTCCTCAAGTGATTATTCTCAGTGTTATGAACTTTTCGCGAGAGATAATATTTAAGCCAGTGGCGCTATTATTTTCTCTTTCAAAGATTTTTAGCAGCATAGCTATTGGCTTCCATACAACTACCTGAGAGTAAATAAACTTTTTGCATGAGTGAATAAAGGTTTAAGGGTCTGCAGTGAGTGCGAAATAATAATTCCTTTCACACTCCTTTCAAATACTGACGTTGGAGAAGAAAGAAAGAAATTCGAGAGCCAATGTGAGACTTTTTTCTTTTCAAATTCGTGAGTCTATGTGAATTTTTTTGACCAATGAAAATGTATTGAAGAAAACAGCGAATTATTTCGTCAGACCAATATTGACAGCGTGTCGCGTGTATTCTACAACGGAAAATGTGGCGAAAAAGAAAGTTGCTTACCAAGAAAAAGGGCACGTATTCTGCATGATATGCTAAAGACAGAATGTCCAAAATAGAAACAAGTCAGTCGCAGGAGTTGCCATAAAAGTATTTCGGATATGCTAATATTGTGTGCCTTCTCTCAATCTGTCGACGAATGAAAAAGAAAATGCTCCGCCGATAAAAGCAATTGGTGTTCTCGAATTGGGGGAAAAATTCGTCTATTTTGTTACGGCGTTCGCCGGCGTGTGTGTTATTTTTCTGACTGGTTACGTGCATTGTGATTTGTGACATAGGACCTGCGAATCGAGATTTTGATATTTCTTTCTGCCCCTGGCATTCGAGTTTGGACTTGCGATTTATTCTTTTCGCTGTGGAAGTAATCTGTGACATCAATTTCTGAACGGGTATTTTAGTTCAAGCACGACGAAACTGATTACAGAAAAAACTACACAGAAATTAACCGGCGAGCCAAGAAGAAGGAAAAAAAAAAAACTAGCGAGCCTAGGCGAAATTCTTTTTGATATGAAATGAGGAGAAAAATTAATCAGAAGAGTGCTTGAAGTCATGTGTAAAAATTTCGTTTCAGTTCCTCGCGACCACCGTTGAAGTACTCTCCAGTTTAAAATTACTCGCCAATTATATTATAGGCCTGTAAACAGCACGCAACACTTCAAAGGATTTTCTCTCAACTATCTAAGAAAACAAAGTATTTCAAACTATTTCTTTTCGTCTACTTTTGAAAGTATATCAACCATTATATCTCTTCGGTGAGCATCAAACTCTCTTACATTTGTCTTAAACATTTTGAATATTATTTTATGTTAGACTTCATGACAATACGTTAAAACTACGGACTTTAAGAATTCTGATTTATTTTCCTGAAAAGCGCTATTGACATAACTTAAAGCGTGTAAATTTGTGAATAAATTCCTTATCTTGCTTTGTTAAAATTACTCGCGTGTATCCTCCTCATTATCATCCTTCATTAATCTTCTAGGTGTGGGTAAATCAAATGTTTATTTTAACCCTTAAGCCCCACGCCACTATAGGTTTACAGCGGGGGGAATTAATTAGTTTCTGACCTGACATCTCGATTTCAGTCACTCTCTCACCGACGTGACGTGGCTTCCCTCTTGTCTTTTCTATAAATATTTTAATGGCAATTATTCTGAGGAGCTGTTCTCGTAGTGCCTCGTCTGCATGGATTTAAGCGCACTACGAGATTGGCAATTAGGTCCCACTGTTTTACTGTTGAACTAACTAGATGCAAGCGTCATTTCTATTCTAATAGTTATTTTCTCGCAATTCTCGCTAAAGTCTTTCGCTTTCTGTAACCTTTGTTCTTGTGGCATTATCGACTTGCTTGGGATGAAATGGTTAAAAAAATGTCTTCTTTGTTGGTGCCTGTTGGATTTTTAATTATCCCAATACGACTAGAAAGTTTTTTGTTCATATATATATATATATATATATATATATATATATATATATATTCCCCCCAAAAAAATTCGCTTGAAGATGGAACAGAGCTTACTTTAACTCAATTTAATTCAAATAATTATATTTTCGGCTTTTAAGTTTTTTAAGTTTTCGGCTCTTGTTTTTGAAACATGAGACTTCTTATGTCGCGATTTGGAATCATATTTTTTTTAATTATATATATAATATAATATATATATATATATATATATATATATATATATATAAAGAAAGAACAGTAAGATATATAATCTGGTGTTCTTATAGATATTTTTTGAAACATGCTTAGAACTGCGTAACGAAAAAACACATTTTAAATCAATTAATTTATAATATATATATATATATATATATATATATATATATAATATATATATATATTATGAAATGGACAAAGTCCGACAATTATTTTAAGACATTTTATGTTTATACATTCTTTTTATAGATACAAATATTTACGTAAATGCTCTGTTTATAATGTTTCATAATGTGTGACGTCATTTGTTTACATTTGGATACGACGCCATGAGCAGATATGAATGCACGTGAGAGATTCATGGATGATTGAAGTTTAAAAGCAGTAAATTCGACCTCGCTAACCGAACGCTCCTCTGTGGCCGAATCGGTTAAAAGGCACGTCAGGCTGTATAGGATACAGGTTCAAATCCCGTCGGAGGATGAATATTTTCTCTGAAAATTTCTCGGATATTCAGGCCGGTAAATATTGTTTATTACAGTTTATTATAAACAGAGCATTTACTTAAATATTTGTATCTATAAAAAGAATGTATAAACATAAAATGTCTTAAGATATATATATAATTAAAAACTATATTGTTTATATATATATATATATATATATATATGTGCTGATAGGTTTTTAATGTAACGAATCTTTGGGACCCACAGGTGATGATTTGGTGAGTTCCTGGGAAATTGAATAGGTCCCAACTAAAGCGTGTAAACGGTTGATAAGCCGTAAAAGAAGAAATTAATCAAACAATTAATGCTTAAAAGAACATTTTTTTAAATAACACTTTTGTTCTGAAGGTTTTGTTGCAGAATAACACTTCATGACTTTCTCAAAGATCTCTGGTAAGCATAAGAATTCTCTGAAAGAATTGGAGCTGTGATTTTGATAAACCTTCACCTATTTATTTCTGACACTATTTACATCCGGACTGTTGTCCTTATCTTTGTTGTTGTTATCACAATGTTTCGGTCGTTGTACCCCCCGGCCTTTATCCGGTTTATAAAGGGTGTTTTAATAATTTTAAATGTGAATTAAGTTTGAGCGTGTAATTATTTTTTTCTTTTTCTTTCAGATTTGGCTGACTTAAATAACATGATCCAATAGAGAAATAAATAAATTTTCACCAATAACACTGATTTATTTACTGCTAACTTTGATCCGTCTTAATGAAACACATTTATATTTAATCCATCTTAATGAAACACCCTTTATAAATCCGGACAACCTACAGGAAATTCCGAACTGAACACTTTATTTAATCTACGTGGGTAATCTGTTCTCGTTCCACTGCCCATGTCTCGTGAAATCTCGTCTAGTTCTTTATTTTCTATTTTGCCTGAAAACTTCCTCGTTCATTTTTCACGTATAGGCCAGGTAGCTAGCTCGCACCGACCTCTCTCTATGGCAGACACTGTGCATCATCTGCATAGATGTTTACTAATGATCTGTGGATGTTCTTAAGCAGAAAGTCAATATAAAGCAGGAAGTGTAGGTCCGAGAAATCAATCTTGGGAAATATCTTCAATGATCTGATCGGTTTCAGAAGACAGACCATTAACAATGATCTTCATGGACGATAAGTAGCCCTTACATTCTCGTTTGCTATCTATGAGACTGTCCTATTCTTTGTTTTTCACATGTATTCTAAGCATCTTGGGTAGCTAGCTTTGGGTGCAGAATTACTTTCAATTTCACCCTCCGTGACGCAAATGTGTCCGAACTTTTATTGTCGATAACTCTAAAACAGTAGATTTTATCAAAATTTCTTTTTTTTTATTTTTGAATTAAGCATCTACATTTACACCTAAATGGAACTATTCGGGAATTTTATTATTAGAAACTGAGGACGGAGGTTGAACTGCAAATTAACCTCCAGTTGAAATTAGTTCTGTCACCCGCTAGCTTTCACTGAATTCACTATAGTTAGACTAGGTATAATATATATCTCCCTAGGACAATTCCAACATAATGATAAGACATTAGAGGCAATATTGTTTTTAACCATTTCACCTCAAGCAAGGCAATAAAGCCATTGAGACGCAAGAAGTTACTGAGTGTTAGACATTATGAGAAGTATACTATTAAGGAGAGAGGGCGATAAAAGAATAAGAATTAAAAAAACAGGAGATAACGATTGACATTGCATTTAAATTTTTGAAAACGAAGTTGAGTGGAAAAAATAAGAAGCTGGAAGAAAGTTCCACATGCGAGAAGTGCAATAGAAGAAACTGTTAGCATAGAACTTACGCCTACTTCTAGTCATTTCAATTCTAAAAACAGATCTTGCGATTAAATTCATAAAGTCTATGTACCATAGAGGAAACTTCATCAGAATTGTTGTAGTGTCACCCCTCTTAAGAGTCTATGTTAGACTCTTTCGCCTACTATAAAATTAGTTGGAAAGAAGGCTTCGGGGAACAGTGAATAGATTGAGCGCTGTTTCATTCGATACACTCTTACTAGTCGTGTAAGACTCTTGTGGTGGACTTACTGTTTAATATACAATATATCTGCAAACCTGGTTTGTGTTATTACTTAATCATTTACTTAGTCACAAGAACAATTCCCATTAAAATATTTATAGAGAAGACACAGGGAAACGACGGAACAATTAAACAGCATTTTATTTAATTCATAATTAATTGTTAAAAATCAGTTTGAATTTGTTATGAAACAGAATTGCATTTTCATTGAAAGTCACAAAGGAAGATAAAAAAGACAAACTAATAAGAGAACGATAAACAAGTTGAACAAAGGCATGATATGTTTTACTACTCCAAAATTAATAAGTTCTCCCACGACACCCCTGGCTTAGTGAGGGTGTGGCACAGTTGTAGCTCGGTTGTCTTCATCTAGCTAATATCTTACAATTGAGAGGGATGTACTTCTGGGCGTATTTCTGCCGCAGCCGGTATTAATAATGATTTTACATTAGAAAGGCAGTTAATATCAGAAAGAAATGGATTGTCTGCAGTCAGGAAATAATATAAGAATTACTGACAAAAATAAGGCTATTATATTTATTTTGATTTGAGGTCTACATATGTGTGAAGGTCAGAATCTATTAAGAATGGTGTGCTTGACCTTTCTCTTGAAAGCCAACTGACAGCTAATTGTTCTTTGGATAAGAAAGACCTCAGGTAGAATTCAGCACAAGAAAGTAATTTAATGTAATCTGTCTAAACATATATTTAATCTTTCTTTTCAGTCCTGTCTTTAGCTTTCGGTTTAATTTCCCAGCACGTCTTGCAATCTTTTCTTTTATTCCTTCCCTCTCTTAATCTTTCGCCATTCTCCTCAAGTCATGGTACAATGATAAGCGCAATAGGCGAGAAACCAAACATATTATGGTTTGATGTCAATAACATTTAAATCGAGTACACCCCAAGCAAGGTAGTAAAGCCACTAAGACACGAGGGATTACTGGGTGTGGAAGAATTATAAAACAAACATTACTAAGGAGCGAGAACAAAAGAAAAGTAATCAATTGGCAGTAGATAGCGATTGACAATGAATTAAAATGTTTGAAGATTAAAGTGTTGTTACTATATTCTACGAAAACGTCTAAGAATGCGTGTTTATCTTTTTGACTAAGTTCGTAGGTAAATTTAAAGACAGAGTTTTTTTTTCCAATGTAGTCTTGAGAGTATCTGTTTCTTTTGTGTTATTTGCTAAAATAAAAATATCGTCTACGTAGCGGACATATATTTTAGGTTTACACACCTGTTTAAATATCATGTTTTCTACATGGGACATGTAATAATTGGAGAAGCACGGGCCGAGTGGATTTCCCATACTAACACCATCAGTTCTGGTGCAAATATTGCCATTTCTACATATTCTGTGTCCAGAAAAGAAGACATTTGTTCGAAAACAAGAAAAATTAAATAAAAAGCTTAATCGTAGTACATTGTCTGTCGTCTTTAATGAAATATATATATATATATATATATATATATATATATATATATATATATATATATATATATATAAGTGATAGAAATTAGGAGGATTTGAGATAATTATGATTAAGTAATTCATCGAGTCTAGAAGAAACCTCAACAGAATGCAGAAAGCACTGGACGGCCGTTTCGTCCTATATTTGGGACTCATCAGCAGTGCGCATCAACTCGATGAATTACTTAATTATATATATATATATATATATATATATATATCAGTATCACCCCAAGCAAGTCAGTAATGCCACTAAAACACAAGGGGTTACAGGGTGTGGAAGAATTACGAACAGAAACATTAATGATGAGCAGAAAGCGAAAAGAGTAATCAGGCGGACAGTAGGCGGATAGCAATTGACATTGCATTTAAATTTTTGCAGATTAAGGTGCGAAGGAACATAAATTTGGTTCTACAGAAGGATGCTGAGGATACCTTGGACTGAACATGTGAGCAACGACGAAGATTTAGAGAAAATAGGAACAAAAAGAACACTTATTCTTAACATCAGGAAGAGACAGATAAAAATACTAGGGTAAATATTGAGAAAAGAGGGCTTAGAAAGTTTGATACTCGCAGAACATATTGAGGTCAAGGGGACAGAGGAAAGAAATGCAGAACCCCTGCTTAATGAGCTAGTGAGGAGTAGAGCAGGGTTTAGGAGAGATTGCAGAAAGATAAAATTTATTACGAGGTATAAAGGATATGAAATTGTGGAGAGCTATGATCGCCAACGTTCAGAATGGACACGGCACATAGAAGAGGAAGACTTTCCACAATATAATTTCAGCAACTTTTTCCTCCTCCACCTTTCATTTTGTTCTTATTTCACCATCCTTTCGATTACTTTATCCTCCATTACGATTATTTTGGTTCGACTTCCCTCTCAGTCTTTCGTTCGGTTCCTTTTTCGTTCCCCACCCTACATTCGGTTCGTCTTTAAAATCTCACATTTTATTTAGCTGGGGAAGGTTAGAGATTGACTTAATTTAAAAAGCTGGGGAAGGTTAGAGATTGACATCTCTAACCTTCCCCAGCTTTTTTCTTTCGAATTCTGTCTCTTCCTTGATCTTTCACTCGGGACTCTTTCCTATTGCATCACCTTTTCAGTTCTTCGTTTCATTATTTCAAAACCTTTGCATCAGTGAATTTTCGTTTTGTTCCTCTTTTCTATTCAATCTTTCATTTAAACCTCCCTCCCTTCCTTCCTTCCTTCCTTCCTTCCTTTTCATCCTTCCTTTTCCTTCCTTCCTTCCTTCCTTCCCTTTCATCCTTCATTCCTTCCCTCCTCTTCCTTCCTTTTCATCCTTCCTTTTCCTTCCTTCCTTCCTTCCTTTTCATCCTTCATTCCTTCCCGCCTCTTCCGTCATTCCTTCCCTCCTCTTTCTTCCTTCCTTCCTTCCTTCCTTCCTTCCTTCCCTTTCATCCTTCATTCCTTCCCTCCTCTTCCTTCATTCCTTCCCTCCTCTTCCTTCCTTCCTTCCTTCCTTCCTTCCTTCCTTCCTTCCTTCCTTTTCCTCCCTTCCTTCCTTCCCTTTCATCCTTCATTCCTTCCCTCCTTTTCCTTCCTTCCTTCCTTCCTTCCTTCCTTCCTTCCTTCCTTCCTTCCTTTTCATCCTTCATTCCTTCCCTCCTCTTCCTTCCTTCCTTCCTTTTCATCCCTCCTCTTCCTTCCTTCCTTCCTTCCTTCCTTTTCATCCTTCATTCCTTCCCTCCTTCCTTCCTTTTCCTCCCTTCCTTCCTTCCCTTTCATCCTTCATTCCTTCCCTCCTTTTCCTTCCTTCCTTCCTTCCTTCCTTCCTTCCTTCCCAATCTTTTTCGTTCCTCTTCTGACTCTCACCATCCCCATTTTATCATGTTTTTAAATGTATCGCTCTTTTTATGATGTCTTTTTTTTTTTCCTTTTTCCCCTTCCGTTTTTTTCTCTCTTTCCTACTTCTATTCTTTATCACAAATTGTTGTAACCTAGGAAAACGTTACTGAATGAGGAATACCCAAAACAGAGGTTGGAAATGAAATGGTAATCTTTATAGCATCAACAAAATACAATACTCGCCAGCGGCGTGAAGTAGGTAAACCACTGCTACTGGTGCACTACTGAGCATATTAGCCCAACTTGCAATAGTGTCCAACGTATTTATAAGGATTGGGGCATAGCTATTAGTTTTCATAGGTACGGTATATAGCACAAATGCGTGTCGTATTTAATATGCATAAAACAATATTTGAGAAATGGATTCCTATTATTATTTTCGATAAATTTTTATGATTTTCACCATGCAAGTTTATTTTTTTTTAAATACGCGCTTTGTTGCAAAATGTCGTATTTCGTTCCACTTCTCGTCAGAATCCATTTTGCACATTTATAAATCTACCATTCTTCCATGGATTGGATACCGCTGCCATATCATGTCTTGGTGCTCCTGCTATTTCTCTCAAGATTCTTGAAACAATTCAAAGATGGGTCTGTAATGGAATCGATCCTAACCTGGTGTTGTGGATTCCGTGAATGGAATCCTGCACAAATAAATAAACAACGCCAGTAATTGAGATAGAAAAATAAGTGTATTAAACGTAAGAATACTTGAAGTGATTATTAGTAGTCCAGGAATGCGGGTTAGTAGAAAGTATATGTACAAGTCTCTGTAAGTAAAGCCGTAATCATCTCTCTCTCTGGACTCTTGTATAACTCTCTGAGAACACCCTGTGTCTGTCTCCGTATCTCTCAACCTCTCTCAACGTATCTCAACAGCAGGTATTCTCTCTGTCAGTATAAGTATACTTTGGACGAGTCCATCTTATGTAAAAAGGGGAGAGCCCTACAACACCTGCCATCTTGACTTCAGTCACTTTCTCACCGACGTGACGTGGCTTCCCTCTGTCTTGTCTACAAATATTTTCATGGCAACTCATCGGATGCGTTTTTTCTTTCTTTTGGTACCCGGACCACATAAATTTAAGCGTCAGAATCCATCTTGCACATTTATACCATCTACCATTCTTCCATGGATTGGATACTGCTGCCATATCATGTCTGGTGCTCTTGCTGTTCATCTCGAGATTATGGAAACAATTCAAAGAAGGGTCTGTAATGGAATCGATCCTAACCCGGCATCTTCATTTCAGTTATTTTTTCAACGTCGTGACTAAACTTTCTTATGTTTTTTTCTGCAAATGGCGTCATAGCATTTGTTCATGATTTTAGAATAGCATTTATATTAATGTTTTTCATTGACAGAAATATCGAAAGATGAGATTTATCCTGGCAAATGTAAACAATTCGAAAAGTATTATTCGTCTTTAAAAAATCAAAGAAATGTATGTAATATAATCAGTCCTGACATGGCATCATATCTTCAGTCACTTTCTCACCGACGTGATGTGGCTTCCCTCTTGTCTTTTCTACAAATATTTTAATGGCAATTATTTTGATGAGCAAATAAGTAGAGCATGGTTTAGGAGAGATTGCAGAAAGATAAAATTTATTACGAGGTATAAAGGATATGAAATTGTGGAGAGCTATGATCGCCAACGTTCAGAAGGGACACGGCACAAAGAAGAGGAATACTCGTCTGCATAGATTTAAGCGCACTACGAGATTAGCAATTAGGTCTCACCATTTTACTGTTGAACTAGCTAGATGGAACCGTCAGTTCTATTTTAATAGTTTCTTCTCCGAAAGAAGAAGACTTAAAACATTCACTTAACATTGATTCACGTGCAAGAATAATCCTTAATCTTCCGTTATGTTTCATGGTTCTAGCATGTATGCTTTGAAATTTGGGGTTGCCATTTATACTAATATATTTTTCGATGATGGAAATATTGAAAGATGAGATTTATCCTGACAAATGTAAACTCTTAGAAAAGTATTATTCATCTTTAAATATATAAATATTTATAATATATAACGAAATAATGTTATTTGGGATAATGGCAAAGACAAGGACGACAGTTTTGCTAATGGCCTCACTAGACCGGAGGAGTTTATTTGCAATTAATCTTATTAGCAAAGTTGTTTTTCTAAAATTAGCTTCATACAACACAAGACGCGAACAGTCAGATTCCACTTAGGAAGTGACAAAATTGATCGTCACAATACCTTTTAGTGAGATTACGTATCCTTGTGGGTAATGAATTATTTTCGTATCTGCAACCTCTTTCCCATGAACGAAAATAAAAAAAATATATATGAAATTTACTTAACCTTAGTGTTATATACCGTACCTATGAACACTAATGGGTATGTCCCAATCCTCATAAATACGTTGGACACTATTGTAAGTGGGGGTGATATGCTGTCTAAGTAGTCTACCACTAGCAGTGGTTTACCTACTTCACGCCGCTGGCGAGTATTGTATTTTGTTGATGTTTCCATTTCATTTGCAACCTCCGTTTTGGTTATTCCTCATTCAGTAACCCTTCCTAGGTTACAACACTTAGCCAAACCATAAATTATTTTTCTTTCATCGAAACTTCTAAAGCCCACAGAACCTTTCTTACAGACGAAACATCGAGTGGACTTAAGAACGTTCTTACACAGTAAAAGGACACGATGAAAAGACACGACGGGAAAGACACAACGCGGAAGAAATTGAAGAAAAACAATGCGCAAGTTAAAAAAAAAATGTGGAAAAAGAAAAACGTGGAAGGTTACATCTCGGAAACGACTGTTCCTTTAAGAATTGAAAGTGCTACAAGTGTGGCAAAATAGCACATAAAAAGTCATACTGTAAAACTAAAGCAAGGAAAAGCCCTCACGGAAAAAAATCGCACACAGCGTTGCGAGGGAAAGAATAATTAGAGAAAACCAAAGAAATTTTGTGTATGCGAAAATTAATAACGGGGATGTAAAAATGCAGCTAGACATTGACATCGCAAGCGTCTCGCTTCTCTATCGCTATTTCCATAGAAAGTGTTCAGATGAACGATATTCCTTAGTTCCACCAGTTCTAACCTTCAAGGCTAGGACCCACCGTGCCACGCCCATTGTAGCGGACCATACTCATTCCCTCCGTATTCCACTGGTGAGATGTAAGTTCCACCCGAGTAGATTCTTCCTACAAACCACTACTCTGAGGAAAAGGCTCCCAAGAGGATGTTTCCCCAATCACTACAATCAACCGGTTCACGTGTAGGGCTAATCGTTATCTTCCTCTTATGTCCCCATAACCTGTACCACTTACTCTTTATAACCCTCTAGCTCGAATCGCTGTTGGGTCTTGTACAGGATGAACATTATTGTTCTGAATTTTTTGAAGTAGGAAGAGAGAACCATAAAATAGCAAGACGGGAAATGCAAAAGCCAGTATTTGGTCTGTCGAGGGGACTTAAGAACGCTCTTACACCGTAAAAGATACTTGTAAAATCGGGTGTAAAACTGTTAGTTAAATAATTAGCAATGCATTTACATTATATATATATATATATATATATATATATATATATATATATATATATATATATACACACAATAACCCTAGTCTATCAGTAATGTTCAGATTAATTAATGACCACAGACAATACATTTATATATTTCTAATATATTCTTAGAGTAAAATCATTAGCAATGCATTTACATTATACATAGAATAGACCTATTCTGCGAGTAATGCTTGCATGAAATTGCTGACCAATGACAATCCCTTTCATCCTGATTTTCAATGCATTCCTATAGTAAAATCATTAGCAATGCATTTATAACCCATCTTCACGCTGCCTACACCCGATGGTGTAACCACACCTAAAGGTCGGGTCCTCAGGGTCTTAGGACGACGTGTTAACCACGGGGCTAACCCTGCGCTGATCAATAACGACGCCGGTCCAAGCTGGCTGTTGGTCGCTGGCCGTTTTGATCCACACCAACTCTGCCCACGTAGTGTTATTGATCTCAGAACAGTGAAAGATCGAATGTCGTAGTAATCGCAGCGTCGGGTCGGGCCATGGAGGAAGCTATATTAAGGGAAGAAATATCTTCACAACCGAAAAATAAAAACGAAATATTCATTGGGCGAATCTTCATTTGGTTTATATAGTTCCTGTTACAACAAAAATTAACCCTTCCCGCTTCAATCTCTATAGTGACACTGGGCTTTGTCAAAAATTCTGGAGTTAGCTGGGCTCAAAGTTCTTCAGAGTCAGGAGATTTGTTGGTAGCTGACACGGATTCCAGAGGCACTGATGCGAGAATTCACCGTGCAAGTACTCGAGCTCTCAAAGCTATCTACTTATAGGCATTCCGGTCCCAAATCGGTGTGAGGCCGACCTGTTTTGGTTTCCCCAATTTTCGCATTAATCTCAACAAGAGTTCTTTGTCTTCTAATTCTGCTTTCTTAATCAATTTTCCAAATTAGGAGAATTTTCCACCTTCTGTGGCAGTAGTCGCAGGGATTGCTTCTTCACACAACTCCAACTTGATTCACTTTACATCTCATACCATTACTTGATACAGGTGATGGTAAATTTTTCTTTCTTCTACCATCTTAGCATTCAACATTAGCCCACTTCACAGGGGAGGCACAAATGTCTTTGTGATGACTAATTTTTAAAGCGCGTAGGCGAAAGGGTGGAGATTTATTCTACTCATTGATTTTAATTCTCTGATTCCTTTCTATTTCCTTGAACTTATCTCTCCGGGAAAATATAAACCAGACCATTTCTTGCCCGCTAACGACGGGATTCGCTTTCATAACTTCCGTCTTAACGTACATTCGACCCTTAAGAAAAGTTCGTTCTCATTTAACCTTCCGAGGGAGAGATAAAATTATTTCCCAATTTGTTTTCGTCGGCGAAAATATAACCCACTCATATCCGCCTCCTTGTTAACGGTATTT